GACTGATGAGGACAATACTGGCTCTCTAGAGAAAACACATGTACAAATTTCAGAGATTGTCGAGCAAATACTTGATACTGCAACATTGGATCAGCCAGTTGCCGCTACTACTGCCACCCCCGAACTGCCTAACATTTTTGCCACCTCTCTAATACTTGAAACATCTTTGCAGATAGTAGTATATGTACCTCCCTTTGCTCATGTAGTGGACGTATCTGCAACATCGGTATTTCTTATCTTATTTGGATTAATTTCCTATATGTAGTTTATTTCAATTGATTTTGTTGCTTGCTTTGTTTATGTGTAGTCCTCAGTGACCGAAAGACACGTTGATTTCTCAGGGCGAGCATTGATCTCTGTAGAAATGCAAACATGTATTGATCTGTGCTTATCACAAAACCCTGTAAAGTAAGTTGTAGCCAATAGGTCGTTCCATCAGAAGTTTATTAATGTGATGTTATATATGTATTATTTTTACCCTTCAGGAATGACTTTATTGTCCACTTAAAAGATAGTTCATTGTTCTGTCGTGTTATTCTGCCGTGTCTAACTATTTCTGGTTTTATTGGAATATGCCGCCAAGATTCCAATGAAACCAGGCGAATCGGCAGGAATAAACCCTGCCTTCAAGAAATCGCGGAGCTTGTGTTTTGGTAATTTTCCGGTGTTGTTCGGGTTTTATTATTCTGCAGTGTCTCACTACTTCTGGTTTTATTGGAATATGCCGCCAAAGATTCCAATGAAACCAGACAGATCAGCAAGAATAAACCTGTCTTGAGGAAACCGCGGAGGTTGTATTTTGGTAGTTTTACAGTTTTGTTCGGGTTTTTTTATTCTACCGTGTCTCACTACTGCTCGTTTTATTGGAATATGTCGCCAAAGATTCCAATGAAACCAGGCAGATCAGCAGGATCGGCAGGAATAAAATCTGTCTTCAAGAAACCGCGGAGGTTGTATTTTGGTAATTTTCCGGTGTTGTTCGGGTTTTATTATTCTGTCGTGTCTAACTATTTCTGGTTTTATTGGAATATGCCGCCAAAGATTCCAATGAAACCAGACAGATCGGCAGGAATAAACCTGTCTTGAGGAAACCGCGAAGGTTTTACTTTGGTAATTTTACGGTTTTGTTCGGGTTTTATTATTCTACCGTGTCTCACTACTGCTAGTTTTATTGGAATATGTCGTCAAAGATTCTAATGAAACCAGGCGGATCGGCAGGAATAAAACCTGTCTTCAAGAAACCGCGGAGGTTGTATTTTGGTAATTTTCCGGTGTTGTTCGAGTTTTATTATTCTGTCTCACGACTGCTGCTTCGTGTAAATCGTAGAACGTGATCTATATTATAGGAATATGCCGCCATAATAACTCGTAAATAAAAACACAGTACAACAAATATCTGTTTCAACTTAAACAGCAATAATACAACAATTTTAACAATAAGTACTCTATATATTATCATGTATGCCCATCAATATGCTCGTGTATGCCCCCAGTTGTTGTGTTTGAGAAAATTTATGTACATTGATAATATTAACGAGTAAATATCAGGAAAGAAGTCTAAATCGAGCAGACAAAATTTCAGAAGGATCAATTCTACAACTTGAGTAAAGTGATCCGTCATTGAAAATAAATCTGGATCGCATTCTGGAATGCTATCATGGCTTGAAACATTATCTTTCTGCTTTCCTGTATACAATACTACCTATTAGTGAGTCATCTTTTATATACAAAAAAATACAGAACTTGATACTTTAGGTAATATTTACTTTTGCATCTCTTGTTTTTTTCCCAGTACCCTTTTAGCTTTGCATTGGATATTCCTTTTGGCCACATCTTCATGGGATCATTCACATTTCGCTCTTTTCTGGGTGTCTTCTTCTTCTTCGATTTTGACTTTTCAGGATGGTCTCGTCGCTTCGACGTGGCTTCAACATCGATTTTAATTTTGTTAAATCCCTCCAACACTAGCTTCTCTGCAAGTTCATGAACTCGTGATATGGTGCCGATCTGGTATGCAAATTTATGAATGCGGTTGAGATAGATGAGTCCACTTGCAGAATTTGACAATCCAAGGCCTGACTTTGTCCTTATTATCGAGAGTTCGGATATGAAATTTTGAATCTGTAGTACTGCAACACTCCACAACAAGCCCACACAAGCTATGTAGAAATTGTGTTTCAAAGATTGAGTATAACTTCCTAGTGTAAAGGGTAGAAACCTGTCTCGACACTGGACTGCTTTTAACGGTGGGAGAAATTGCAGACTGCTTGCATTTAAATTCTTCATCTTTTTCATTTCTTCTCTAATCCTTGAGAACATTTTCAAGACCCAAAAAAACATTCGGTCAGGGTGCTTGTTGCCTTGGAGACATCATGACAAATTTTATTCGTGGACTCACTTCTTTGCGTTGATAGGATCCCCATTCCAAAAATTTATTTGTTGAAGGCGGTTGACCACTTAAGCTTGATATTATACAATTCATCCAACCAAACATTCTCGTGTAGTTTTCCTTTCTCGATCATTTCACCCAAAGTTTCTTCAAACTCCTCTTCAAAGTCACATTTGCTCAAGCATTTATAAAAAAGATCATTGACTCTCTTGCTACCCACGCCACAATGGACTTTTGAAGATAACTTCTTATAGATGTGTCATTGACATAATCTATGTCTGGTTTGCGGAAGACACTCTTCAATGGCTTTAGACATTGCTTGGTCCTGGTCAGTGAATATTGTTATCGGATGTTTGTTATCCATTATACAGATAAAGCTTTGATAAACCACTTGAATGATTCAATTGTTTCATC